CGCAGTTGTGGAAATGTGTATTGGACGAGGATGCAATGGTATCATTAGATGATATTCAGGTTGACGAGCGCCTAAACTATGTCGAGAGGCTAGTAGCTATTCTGGAAAGGAAGGTAAAGGTTATGCAAAGCAAGGAGGTACCTTTGGTAAAGGTACAGTGGCAGCATTGGAGGGGATCTGAGTGGACATGGGAGCCGGAGGCTAAGATATGGGAGCATTATCTGGATTTATTCATCGTAGCAGGCATCGAGGACAAAGCCTAGTCCAAGTGGGGGAGAGTGTTAACATCCTGATTTCCAGGTATGAGATTTATTCTTTAAAAGGCAAGTTTCCCTTGGAGCTCGGCGAGTTGATGGCCTCAAATCGACGCGTTGAAATGCTTTGGGTTGCGCATCTTTTTGGACCAACTCAACGAGTTCGTGAGGAAAACTCAACGAGTTGGCTGCTAGGTGAGAAACCCAAAATTTTAGGGTTTGCGCCCTATATATCCTCCTTAAGTCCTTGAGGCTGATCTTTTATCAGCCTCCAAACTCTCATATCAGCCTTGTGAACCCTAATCATCATTTCATCTCTTATTGTGAGCTAGTATGGCATTTTGGATCAAAAGAAGGAGAAGATTAAGAGAAGGAAGCAAGGATCTAGCAAGCAAAGCTCTTATCTTCATTTTGGCACTCTTTTGGACCATTGTAAGTGTTCAAGATCCAATTTGTATCTATCTATGTAGCTAGATCTTGAGTTTTGTCCCTTTTCTCCTTATTCTTGGATGTTGCAATGGATGGACTTCATAAAGTTTGCAACTTTATGAATCTCCAAGTCAATGTGACCTTATAGTGGGTTGGATTTGGTCTTTAGCCAAGCTTTGATGCCATGCATGGAGTTTAGGCCATATTTCCCCTTTTTAACCCATTTTAGGTTCAAGACATGCATTGGACATGCATGTCTATAAAGCACCAACCTTTAGGACATTTTTGAGGCTAGAATCTCTTCTGGAAAAGATGGGTTAATGGTTAAGCCTTTGAGTTTTCAAGCCTCATGGAATGGTTTTTGAGCATTTGGAGTAGCCCCAAAGGATAAAGTTGGAAACTTTATCCTTTTAGACACATTTGGAGTTTAGATTTGAAACTTAGAGTCCCTGGAATCAAAGAATCATCTGGATGTATTAAATTGAGGAAAACTCTACGAGTTTTCCAGCAAACTCGGCGAGTTGGCTAGGGTTTTCCCCGACTTTCTGAGTACTGTAGAACTCAACGAGCTCATAGGTGCGCTCGACGAGTTGGGTCAACATGGACTGTTGACCTTGACCATTGACTTTGACTTTGACCATGGTTGAACAAGTTAGACTTTTGAGGGCGTTTTGGGTTTTTCGGGATTTTGATGGGCTTGGTCATGATGGTTGTAGGCATTGATTCGGGAGCTGAGACTCGGAGTCAGACCTTATCAGTTCTGCACTACTTGTGAGGTGAGTTGTCCTCATCGTACTAATGTCGGCCCATTGGATTGATATCTTGTTATGCATGTTATTGTATTGTTACGATCTGTTAGATCGGTATCCTAGTAGATAGGATGTTGCTATGCTTAGTGATCTATAGATTTGTGTGACTGGATGTAGACTGTTATATGATTATCTGTTATATGTGCACATGATTTATTGGTGGCTAAGGCTTCACTTCTTTGTGCGTAAGCCAACAAGCCGAGGCATTCCAACCCGATAGTTGAAGGCCTAGGGTATTCCATCCCGAGGATGATTGGACCCATAGTATGTTGTCATTCCAACCCAATGGTTGAGGGCTTGGGGGATTTCATCTCAAGGATGATTGGACCCATAGTATATTGGCATTCCAACACGATGATTGAGGGGCCTGGGGTATTCCAACCCGATAGTTGATTGGTCCTAAAGTATGTTATTACTATAACTCTGTAATTTGTTATGTATTGGTATTTTGGGGGAAGTCACTAAGCTTTGGGCTTACAGTTTGGATTATGTTTCAGGTACCTCAGTGGATCACGGAAAGGCGAAGGCGTGATCGTGCACCTCCTCATGTTTTGATTTTACGATTTTGGGATTTCTCTGATGTGAAACTTATTTTGAAAACACACTATAATAAATGATGGTTTGTGGTTGTTTAAAAAGTTTAAAATTTTCAAGAATTTTACGAATGTTACACCTTTGCACAAAGAGGCATCTCCACCGACCAAGAAAACAAAGCCACCTGCTTCACTGTTTTCTTTCAATCATGCCAAACGAATTGAATCCAAAGCTACCCGTTTTGGTGGATCCTTTTTGCCCGCTTTTCACGCGCCTATGTCGGTATCCCTTTATCATGAACAAGTCGAACTTTATTCCTCACTAATCATTGTTGTCTAATTAATGTAGACACAATCGTTTGATTTTTTCTGCCTTTTGATTTCAACCGATCAACGTCTTATTCTCTTTTTTGACAACCTAGACCTAATCAAACTTGTTCCAATATCAATTTTCCACCGAACAACAAGACAAGGTCATGACCACCTTTACCGTCTTCCGTCACCCGCAAAACGAACCGAATCAAAGCCACCTACTTTGATGTATTTTTGTCCGTTTATTCCACACCTTCGGTTAGTGTCTCTCCACCTTAGAACAAGCCTGACCAAGAGAAATCAGGGTTGATGTTGAGATGCTTCAACTCGTGCTCAAAAACAATCCACATCCCCTTAAACCGAACTTAGTTCCCACTGTGTCTGCCCCGCAGCAAAGGGCTACACTTTTCTTAAAACCGACTCTCAAACTGGCCACCCTATGCCTTCACAAGCCATAGGCTCTGATACCACTTGTTAGGATCGCTACTAGCCCAACCATGCTTAACATAGAAGAACAATGAGGTTTCATTTTCTAAAATCAATTGGTAATAGAAGGAATTACCCATTGCCTTATATGCTAGCATCTAGTTTTTCTTTTTGCTGGTGTAGGAATGGGTTTGCACCCAACAATCCTCCCCTCAAACCCAAGTTCCGCCCTTGGACTCCCATTAACAACTGTTCATCAGGTCCAATCCTTTTTCATACCGTCGATACTCTCGAGACATGCTCACCTAATATGGGTCATCAAGAAGACTTTCGATACAAGGCTTCAAGATCAACTTCGTTGGACAAGGAATTACTGGGGATTGTGTCACCTGCGTCGACCACATCATTCAGGCTACGAATGTAGATCTGATACCACGTGTAGGTATACCATCTGATATTACATTGGTGCCCAATGTATGAATTGAACAAAGAACAAGAACGAGGAATTACTGGGTGAACTTTATTGCTGGAAAAAGTTAACTTAAATTTCCTAAACATTAACCATATTTATACTAATAAAACTAGACTCCTACTCTAACAAAAAAACTGCATAAAAGAATGTTTCTTAAAATACCCCTAGAACTAAAATTGTCACATATTTCCTCTTGTGATAAACTGATTAATCTAACAATGATTACAAACATATAATAAAATATACACATCAAGTTTTTGGTGTTGTTGTTAGGGATTTGTTGTCAAGTTATTTAAAGCTTATTTTATATATTAAACTAAACACATCGGCTTCCTAATTATGTCCTTTAAGTAGTTCTTAGCTAACAAATTACAACTAACCATACATCCAAAATTGTAATTCTTTGCCTAAGGTATGTATCAATTATGGAGTTAATTTGAAATGTATCGTTCATTATACTTCTCATTATGCATACTTCTTAAAGTACATCTTTTTTTTTTTTGCATTTCCCCACACCTTGCAATTATCTTGGTTTACCATCCTTCATAAAATAAAGCTACTATATATTAGCTACAACATAATTAGTTAATGCAAACCCTAGTTGAAAAGTAGACTCATACAACTCTTCCACAATGGGCTTCATATTGTTCCACTTAACTTTAGGATCATGTGCCATTTGCTCTACACCCGATCAACCTCACTTTCATCTTCAATATGTTCATTGAAGAGTCAAAAATTCTATCAAGTATCGATTTCACAAATATATATAAACATATGAAGTAACTAAATCTGGTTTCAGTTCATATTATCTGGAAAACAACAAAGGTCACAAGAGTTTGTATGAAATCTGAAAAAGTGTCCAAGTAACATATGTTGCAACAATATTTATAGTGTTATCAACGTATACAAAATATACTATGAGACTTCGCCATTAAGTACACAGTTTACAAATGCTCCTAGAAATACATAGATATATCAAAGTCACCTAAACTTTGATATAAACAACACTACCCTATGAAAATATGATTCTAAGACTTGGCATCTGAATATCTTCGCAACATATGAACTCAAGATTCATGCTCTTCCTCGTGGACATCATCATCATTATCTTCATCCTCCACTTTGTAGTATGTGGTCCTTAACATATATTCATCACATAAGTTAAGGAATGAGTCGTTTGCACATGGTAAAGTGGGTTTGAAGGTTGCTTTGAAATCCAAAAAGAACATGTAAATAAGATCATCATTAGAGCCTTCATCACATACATAAGTTTTATTTGGGGATTTTTCTTTTCTTCTGCATAATGTCTTCGCCATTTCATACTCTGAAAATCATTTTTGATAGTCAATAATCACACCAACATTGGAATCGATTATGTAATGGATCATTACAAACACACAACTTCCTATTTTAGTAGATTTAAACTTCAAAAACTCTAATTGTAAGTAAGCTCTTGCATGCAACATTGGTGTTAAGAATTAAAACATGTAAAACCTTCGTCTTCCTCTCACGGTCACTCTCAATCAAAAGTGCCGTTTGTGTAAATACAATGTGAGTTCCCAACATCAAATCACTCAAGTAAATTGGAACGAAATGAGGGTTTCCTTATGGAAACCAGGCAACGATAATAAAATGAAATATTTTTCAATTATGATGGCAGATAAGGGGAAAAAACAAAAGTGTGACTAAAAAAAGATGGCATAACCATTTAAACCTATAAATAAATTAATATTAGATATTAATGAAAATGATATAGGAAAATAGATTCACTTTTTCCGCTCAAATATATATAAAAAAAGAAAACTAAAAGAGGGAAGAAAACATGATTTTGCAGTAAGAAAAGCACATTACCGATGTCATATATACGAGGAGAATGATGATGAGTGGTGACAGGGAAGAAGCATGAGAGAGAAATACAGACAAAGAAAGGTCGATGTCCTTTCCCCCTTTTTCATCACACACAAATTCATATTTTACTCCTATCTTCCTCAAATCACAAGAATATTAGACCCTCTCTCTGCTTTTAAAACATTATAAAACTTCAATATTTTGACCATCTTACTCCCTCCATCACAAAACAAGGAAAAACAGGTATTTTCTTCGAGGAACAGCAATGGGAGCTCGTTGTTTCTACTTTTCTTTTTGTGGGTGGTCTAGTTTGAAATCCAACGATACGCATCCATCTGATTTGGGTACGTGAAGATTGACCATGGGTTTATGGAAATCTGAATCTTGAATTTGTATAATATAATCACTGTGTCATCGCTCATCAATTGTATTTTTATGTATGACTGCAATGTGTTTGATAATTTGCTTCAGAGAACGGTGGTGGGGATAGCGATAAGCTAAAGCTGCCAGCTTTTAGAGAGTACAAGTTAGATCAACTTAAAGCTGCTACCGGCGGGTTTTCTGTCGATAATATTGTCTCTGAACATGGTGAAAAGGCGCCTAATGTTGTGTACAAAGGAAAGCTCGAAGATGATGATCGTTTGATCGCTGTTAAAAGGTTCAACAAGTCTGCTTGGCCTGATACTCGCCAATTCCTGGTATGTCACCACATATTCATCCTTCTTTATCGCAATTCAGAATGTTCTTGTCTTTTTGGTAAACAAATTAAACAACCTTGGGAAACTGATCGGAAAATTGATCGCTTGATATGAATTGGTCAATAGTCGCTAGTGGTCAAGATTCTAGAGGTCCCGTGTTCAGATCTGATGATTTACCAACAGTACGATCGTTGGCAGATGTCAACAGTTTTCATCCATTGAGTGTGCTTCCCGATGTCTTTCAAGAAAAAACAAACCCAGATCTCATCAACCAAATTATTCCCTATAATTTATTCAATTTGATCAAAAAGTGAAAATTGAATTACAGGATGAAGCAAAAGCAGTGGGGCAACTTAGGAGCCTAAGATTAGCCAATTTATTGGGATGTTGCTGTGAAGGAAATGAAAGATTGCTAGTGGCAGAGTTCATGCCTCATGAAACTTTATCCAAACATCTCTTTCATTGTAAGTCTTCATTAAATTTTCAAACTTCAATCAATTCTTTATACACAAAAAAAAACTAATAATAAACAATCTCAATTCAGGGGAAACCCAACCTTTAAAATGGGCCATGCGATTAAGGGTGGCTCTCTATTTGGCACAAGCACTAGATTACTGCAGCACAAAAGGCCGATCTCTGTATCACGATCTTAATGCTTACAGAGTCTTGTTTGATCAGGTACTTTCTTAAATCATTTATAATTTATATTCGTGTTCTTATTATTTATTTATAAACATTTTTACAGGATTGCAACCCCAGGCTTTCATGCTTTGGCCTAATGAAGAACAGCCGAGATGGAAAAAGTTACAGTACAAACTTAGCTTTCACCCCACCCGAATACATGAGAACCGGTATGAGAAAAGAAAACTGTCGCTAAAAGTGAAAAACAATTTCGTGACATTTTATATGTAAAGTGATTTTTTTTTTTTTTTTTCTATTGTAGGTAGAGTCATAGCAGAAAGTGTAATTTACAGTTTTGGCACCATTCTGCTTGATCTTTTGAGTGGAAAACACATTCCTCCAAGCCACGTAAGCTCTTTCAAGTTTGAGTGCTCATTTATTTCCAGATCTACTCTAATCCTTACATAATCATTTTCAGGCACTTGATTTGATAAAAGGGAAGAATTTTCAGATGCTAACAGATTCATGTTTAGAGGGTCATTTTACTAATGATGATGGAACTGAATTGGTAAGGATAGCATCACGATGTTTGCAGTATGAACCTCGAGAGAGGCCCAGTGCCAAATCAGTTGTGGCTGCTCTTGCTCCTCTTCAGAAACAAACAGATGTAAGTGCATTTGTTGCATACTTTCTAAAAGAAATTCACAATTTTGTTTTTTCCTTTAAGAAATGACCCTTGAAACATTTAGTGACAAAATTTAGCGACACCTTAACAGATTTCTTCGCTTGTCTTGATGGGAATTAATGACGAATCTTCACCAGCAACACAGATATCCAACCTGTCGCCACTTGGCGACGCTTGCTCGAGACTAGATTTAACTGCCATACACGAGATACTTGAAAAGATCGGATATAGTGGCGATGAAGGGGTTACGGATGAGGTAATCTCTTGAAAAACACATTTTGATTAAATTTACGATTATACCCTCCTAAATGATCCTCGAATCCCGCTATGTTTTTCTTTTTCAGCTCTCCTTCCAAATGTGGACAAGTCAACTTCAAGATACTTTAAATGGTAAGAAACGTGGGGACAACGCTTTTCGAGCTAAGGACTTCAACACTGCCATCGAATCTTACACAGGCGTAAGTCCGGGCCCATTTGTTAACAGAACATGTTGTACTGTGTTCCATATGTATTCTGACAAACATATATCTGACACACAATTCGTCTTTTTCTTTCTTTACTTTTATACTAACCAACATCTATCTGTGTGACAAAATCTGTCTCAATAGGAGATTATACAATCTGCTATTGAGACAGATTGTCAAGAGTTAGAGAATCTGTAATAATGTTTAAATCTTTGGAGGTGCAGTTCATCGAGAGTGGGACCATGGTGTCACCAACTATGTATGTGAGAAGGTGTTTGTGTTATTTGATGAATAATAAGGGACAAGAAGCGTTGGGAGATGCGATGCAAGCACAGGTGATATCGCCTGATTGGTCGATTGCGCTTTATCTGCAAGCAGCTGCTTTGTTTAGCCTAGGAATGGACAATGATGCACGTGAAACACTTAAAGATGCGGTTTCATTGGATCCCGAAATGAGGGGGAATTAAAATTGTGTTGTGTTTTTTTTTTTTTTATGTTGCTAGGAATGTTGTTTGTAGTTGTGGATATGTGAATTGTTTCCATTAAAGGCAACTTTACTTTTGTTATTGAATGAGTGTTTGTAATGTTCATTTATCAAATTAAATGAGTTGAAAAAGTATGTAGATATGTGTACAAGTCTTTGTATTGATAAATGCTAGTCATTTGGTATGGACAAATTCCATATAGAATGAAAAGTATGTCAATTTAGTTTTTATGTATGGAGACATGATATGAAAACAAATATTTAAGAGGTTTTAGTAAAATAATTATAATCAAATAAGAAACTTGGTCATCGTATAAGTACTTATTACCCAATAAGTTGATTTCGTATTTAAATAATTGGTTCTTATTTGTACATATTTTTTTTCAAAAATAAAAATCTACCCAAAAGTATATTCCCTTAAAGTTTAGAATAATGTATTTTGCTCCTTTAGGTTATGTGAGACAAAATATGAGAAGACATAATATGCATTCTTGTATAATGTATAATGTATGGTGTGGCTGATGTTATTGAGATAAATTATAATGTTTTATTCCATCCAAAAAAATAGTATTTGGATCAGCTCTTGATCTCCATTCAATGCAAAAAATGCCTGAATATCATTTTCATTATAAACATTAAAAATAACTTTGAAAAAAATATCAAGTTTATAAGTTTTATGGAGTCTAGATTTGTCTTGTCCCATCAAGTATCACAAAAAAAAAAAGGAGCATTGGACAACCACAATTGCCATGTATTTAAAGTACTAGAGAGTACACAAATGAGTGAACGACTAAAAAAGGTTGCTTTAAGTGGTGCTAGTTTGGATATTTTTTTCAAGAATCATTGGAGTGAGAAAAAAATTTAAATTAAAAAAAAAAAAAAAAAAAAAAAAAAAAAAAAAAAAGTTTTTAAAAAATAATAAAAAATTAAAGGAATTACCACTGTAAAAAAGTGTTGACCAGAGGCTAGTTCTATACCAAAGAAAAGGATCAAAAATAAAATAAAAATTGAGGGACCTCAAATGTAAAGCTTTGAAACTTAAACGGATGGAGAGGTGAATGTAATTCCCTTAAAGTAAAAGGGTCCAATTTATAAATTCTAAGAAATTGAGAAAATGGGATCGTGACTGATTTAACGTGACGACAAGTTGGAGCCATAGTAACGTTTGTTAGTTGTTACTTTAGTCGACAAATTAGGCAAATTTTTATAAAGTTTTCTAAGATGTAGACAAAAAATGCAAGCTACGATTGTTTGGAAAAGGCTTAAGGAGTGATTCGTAATGAATTTGAAAATGATTCCAGATGAATTGATACAAAAATGAAAATGATTTCAAATGTACCCAGAAAAAAGGATCCAATGTTTTTTGTCTAAATCTATGTATCTCACAAGACAAAAGTTTTATGTTTTTTTTTTAAAATGACATATATCCAAGTAACCAAGTGAAATAGTAGCAGGATAGACTACGACCATGGAAGCTTGAAATAAAGATACACGTGCTATGCTTATGTTTTATCGGTTGTAACCCATGTTTTTAGTATTATGAATGTAAAATAATGCGTAATCAAACTTGGGCATTTGTAAGTTACGAAATAAGATTGTAACAATGTTTTATTAAATACATAAATTTGTACTGTAAAAATATCGTCTGTTGGGTTTTTTTCGCCTTAAAAAAAAACATATGTTATTTGTTGATTTTGTTATTTAATGTGTAAATATTTAAGTGAGACTCATTTATAAACACGTAAAATGTTTATAAATATAAAAGTTTATAAATTACTGATACGACATGACAAATGATAGCTTGACAATATTTTGGACCTTTAAACATCATTGGAGATGTTGTGGCCATTTTTATGAATATCCCACCCACATGAAAACACTTACGATGAGAGATAACATAAACTAAAACATTGCAAACATTGCAATTTTTAAGCATACAAAAAAAATACTCTAGAGTTCTTAAAAAATTATAAGAAACAGTTCTATAAATTGTAAGAACTTTTGTCTCTAAATTATTGTCAAGTGTAAACTTTGAGAATTTATATTTAAAGTTATAATTTCTAGTCTCTACAAGACCTAGTTTGCATACCTTTCTCTAAGATTATATTTCGACAAACTAACTTATAATTAAGTTTTTATTTTATAAGCAAACTTATCAATATAAACTGCTTCAAACTAACATATCAATAAACTATCTTGTAAGCTACTGTGTAAACTACATGATTACAATAAACTACTTTTATAGTTTTATCAAACACTACATTACAATAATTCATATATCAAATTTTAACAAATATATCTACCTCCCACAAAAATTTCTAAGAAACATTTGTTCCTTAAAAGTTAAAAGCATTAGATGTGAAAGAAAACGAAGCATGTAAAATTCATGGCATTGGTTCACTCATAGAAATATTCTGAAAATACTCCAAAATTATTTCAGGGTTTTGAACAACTTAGTTGATCTATATGATTTCATCAATCATCAAAACAAAAAAAATCTAAAGAACCCTTGACTATTATAATTAAAATTAAAAAACAAAGTTGAAGATTCACATTGGTGGTCTCCCAGAACCAAGTAGTTGACCTACAAGATTTGTGACCTGAAGATAAATGAGAGAGAATGTTACACATTCACATATGTTTGAAAAGGTTTATAAATATATCTATATTTGTTTGCATTATGATTATAAATCTTGAAAAAATATTTAAAGAAATGTTACCTGCCAATATTTTGAAACACAACGATCAATGCAGCTGTTTTCACCCATGTTTAACTCAGACTCTTTGTACCTAAAATATTACGCTATTCAAAATCACATCTTTGAAACACTATATTTTGAATTAATGTGCCTTGAAGGACTTTTTGTATTATTATTATTGTGAACAGAAGAGAAGAGATGATACCTTTTCTCAACACATTTAGCAAAACATGTATGAGTTAGCCTGCATCAAATCATACATATGTGTTAAATATTATAAAACTTGCATAACACAGGAAATGGAAGAGAATATACATTATAGGGTGTTGTTTAATTAATAGAAAGGTCTAAAATATTTATGTCTAGGCATAATGAGTTTTAAACACATTACAAAAGAATCCAAAAATGAAGGTTCTTACTTGTTAAACAATTCAACCCTGTACTCCATCTCCTTCTCTGCCATTCCAAAGATCTATACATCAAGAAAAACACAATAAAGTAATTACAACCTAAGCTTTAGAGACAAGAAAACAAATGGAGATGCAATGCTTTTTTTCTTTTCTTTCAGACCAATGAATTGCTAAAAACAAATCAAATGGAGTTTACCTGTTCCTTGTCTAATGCAACGGGCATCTCATTATTTGCAGCCATTGTAGGTTGAGTGGAGATGAAGAAACTAACAATAACCTGCAAAAATTTTAAATACAGATTATAAGTGTTTGAAAGGTATCAGACCAATTATCAAGTATTTTCACATAAGAAAATGGAACCACTGCAGAATTTCTGTTCTATCGATTCAGAAAAATGTTATTAGCAACCATACTTGATACAATGCATTAGACAAATAATTGTGTATGATCAACAACTCCCTAAATCAGTATTTAAACTGTGACAAACTTGGAAGATTTACAAAGAGGGATACTTCTGGTAAGGGTAAACATCGGACTGCTTTTTGTTATGTCAAATAATCCAATTATGCATATTAACCAATCAATCACGATCAAGAGCAAGAACAAAGTGAGAATTCGATCATTTCTCACTATCTCATTGGTAAGTATGGTTCAGATCCATTCAGAACCAAAAAAGACTCGATTCTTTACAACAAAAAAGCATCCCGAAATCACATCCACTATAAATCAAGTTCGACTAATAAAACTATTGAAGAGAAAGAAAGGGATTTTTTTCAGATTTTGATATCATGATATCAGAGGGGTCACAATAGCGATTGAAGAATAAAAAAAAAAAAAAAACCCTCCAGCGATGTCACGGTAGCTCTGTTTGGGGTCGACTTCAGAGGAGGTTGTTTGGTTCGAATGTATAAAATGCTATTAAAGAGAGAGGGAGATAGAGATAGGGATAGAGGTAGAGAGATATTACCTGCGATGAAACTCCTTGAACAACCCTGTGACGAAGTTGAGAAGACGCAATGGAGAGGTTGTCGGCTGAACGAGAATGAGAGGATGTTTAGGTTTACCTGATAAAGCTGTGGTAAACTGGTAATATTTAGTGAGGGCAAAATCGTAATTGCCATTTTCCATTTTCCATTAATTCCAGTAGGACGGTGAAAGAATGGATTTTCCTTCGTTCGAAGGAAAAATATTTAATTTCATTTCATTCCTACAAAACAGAAATTCCATTCCTACAAAACAAATAACCAAAGAAATTAGAATCATTCTCTTAAATTTCATTTCATTCCTATCAACCTAACAAGTAGGGAATTAAAATCTTTTTCCCTTAATTTCATTTCATTCTTGACACACCCTTAGACTATTCCCATTAACAATCCAACACAATCTAATTTTTCAATAAAAAAATAATTTATTTCTTTTTCACATATACAAACCAATCCAATCCAATTATCTATACTCATTAGAAACCCAACCCAACCTATTTTATAATAAAATTTTACATTTATAAAACGATATCAATATTAGTCTTATTTTGTAGAGAAAAATAAATTAGATATATTGATATACTTTATTTTATTTTATATTAAAGATAAAAATTACTTATAAAAAAATTACTTTTTAGCATAAAAATTAATTGGTTTCTACCATGAATTTGCCATTCGAGTTGGGACGAGCTGAGGGCGCCCACACAAACAGGTTCACAAAGGATTGTTTCATTTTAATTTTTTAATATCTTTTTCCCAAGAAGCGGCTCGCAAAAATCCCCCGATGGAGGGTAGTCTTAGGGTTTTAGGAAGGTAAGACGATGTGGTATGGGTCTCGTTGAGACTCATTGTGGCTGGGATGGACGCCAAAAACGGCGTTGCATCTCGTTGTACACCGGCCCGCTTGGTCGTTTTGTTGCTTCTCGTGGTAACAACCACCTATAGCAACGACGTCTTCTTCTTCTTTCTTCCTCTTCTTTTCTTCACCTTAACAGAGTATAAAATGAAAACACAATCCCCTAATCTCGTTGTGGAGAAAAGATGATGACGTAGTTGCGTTGTGGGTGGGTATGGGTGTTGCTCATACCCAATGCTCTAAAAGAATACCCAATTTGGACACTGTTTCCTTTTGGTTTTTGATACTAGGCACAATAGTTTTCTTTTCAACATTAATGTCATAGTTCTTTCCATTTTTTGCATTCGGTCATTTTTAGATTTTTATATTTGTACTCGTACTATGGGCATTAGGACTTTAGTAGTGTAAATCTAGGCTCCAAATCAGGCAGTTGAAATCGATCCTTTCTCGTAAAGCAACCGGTAAAAGTAGTGAGCTTTGATTAAACGAGGCTAACCTTTGAACAGGTCTTGTCCAAATAAACTGATTTGTAAATAATAATTGGCCTACAAACCGATCTCAAGCAGGGGCTTTTATTAGTGTCGTATTTAAATGAAACAAAAATAATTCTTACTACAAGGTTAAGCTAATATTAGTTTTTGGAGTAAAATACATGAATTGTCTTTTGCGTAGGGCCAAAAAAAATACATTTAGTTTTTATTTATAAAAATTAACTTGGACTTTTGATGTATTGCTTTTTTCACTTGGACAATCTTATGTATATAAAATGATTTTTTTTACTCTTAATAATTATTTCTTTTAAATTTCTTTTGTTTTGTTTATCTTTTAGATTAAAAAAATAAAATATGTATCATCCTCTTCTATTTCTCTTTCCCCATTTTCCTTCTACCTTCCTTGTAAACCAAAATACACTACATCATCAGTGATTGGAAACAACAATACATTACATTACCGACAAAAACCCAAGTATCAACATTGGTATTATCCCCATCGCTCTCATCCTTCTTTCTCTGACGAGACCAACCACTGCCCTAGCCGATATACAACGTGGTCAACTCCTATCAGACCTCCACCATTGACAACCATACACATGCCCTCCTCTTTCTTCTACTCTCGTTTCTGATCGTCAGCTAACCCAACCAAAACCATCATCGATCACCTCCCAGAAAACCCAATGCTCTCTATTCATTTCGTCTCATAACCCTAGCAGCTGCTACCCACCGAATGAGTAGATTTCATCGGGATTCCATCCGGGGAGTTACAAATCAAGAAGGAGACGAAGTACAGTACTTAGGTGAGGGATTTCTTGAAGCTCGCAGGGAACGACACATATGGTATGAATGGGTGAATAACGATGGTTTGAAGGGGGCGACGATCTCTACTCTGCCATCGTGATATCCCTCTGTCTCTCTAGCCATCTTTCTCGGTATTGCATATGTACATGTACATGTGTGTGTGTTTTGTGGTTCTTTTTTCTCTCTGATTAGTCAACATGAAGGTTTGGAATTAAAGGGGTGGGAAAAATAAAAGGGAGGGTAGTAGAGTGGGCATGGAAAATAATAATAAAAACATCAAACTAATTGCAAAATAAAAACACAATGGTATTATGGTCATTTCAGCTTTAGCACAGACTAAGTTCACAACAAAATCGTTTATCACGGATGAAGCGTACAAGTTTAAACCAAAAGGGGATAGTCCGAGTTAATTTTTGAAAGTAGAGACTAAATGTTTTTTTTGGGCTTGCACGATGGATGATTCGTGCAATTTACTCTAGTTTTTGGGATTTGCAAATATAGGATTAGCTTCCTTGGTAGATATTTTACCTCTGAGATTGGAGGTTCTTGGTTTTAATCTGGGTGTTTGTGGTTTCTACTAACTTGATAGTATTAACTTTTAATCATTAACTAGTCGTTAAAAAATAGTTTTTAGGATTTTTTTTTTTATAGATTTTGTTGTATGGTCTGAATTTTATACATAGATATTGGACATATATAATCCTATATAGTTTTGGAGTTTCAAACATATCATGAAAGCCATGATTTTTGTAACATCTCAAAAATACGATCCAAAATTTCCATTTTCAATTATTAAAAAAACCATAGTTATCAAATGATCACATAAAATCATAAACCATTGTATCTCAAAACATCAAAATCATTTGTCAATATCACAGTGAAACATCCCAGGCTAAAAACATGGTATGTGCACTACAGTCATCCCGAGCTCTCTCTTGCTACCGGAAGTACCTGAAACCAAAACCGAAAATTATAAGCATGAAGCTTAGTGAGTCTCCCCAAACTACCACATACCATACACATAATTATGCTACTAGGAGATACGAGCCCCACCTACACTCCACTAACTAGGAGATACAGACCCCGCCCACACTCTGCTGAATACGAGATACGGGCCCCGCCCACACTCGGCTAAATACGCGGACCCCGCCTACACTCGGCTAACTATGAGATACGAGTTGTAACATCCCAATATTCAAGGTCAAAATTTTCGTTTTCTAAATAGATTATAACATAAAAACCATCGGTCTAAAAACATTCATAATGATATCTGATGTCAAAATCAATATGTCAATAATCCAAAACATGTCACCATAAAAACTAGTTTGTCAAAAGTAAAATAATTCAGAGTAGACACCCAGGAAACTCCATGCGGAAAACATGTGTGTGTGATGCGTTGCTACACCACCGGCTCCTTCCCCTTAGACGAAAAGGTACCTAAAACCAAAACTGAAACTGTAAGCACAAAGCTTAGTGAGTTCCCCCACCATACCCATAGCACATAGTCATCGATTTCTTTCAACCGGTAACCGGGAGCTACCCTCCCCTTCGATATCTTTCAACCGGTAGTCAGGAACTATCCTCCCATTCGGTATCTTTCAACCGGTAACCGGGAGCTACTCTTCCCTTCGGTATCTTTCAACCGGTATTCGGGAACTAAACTCCCCTTCGGTATCTTTCAACCGGTATCTGGGGACTATTTCACCCCTACCTCTATCACATATTACATGTCATAACATATTGGTTTCATGATAACATACATAGAGCATATTGAGTCATATAATGACATATCATAAGCATACAACTATACATGTGTGGGTTTTGTCCACCCCTTTGGTATCTTTCAACCGGTAATCATTTCTGGTATCTTTTAACCGGTAACCAGGGGCTAGCACGCCTTACTACTACTAACACATACTCAACACAGATATAGCAACCAGACAATTATCACAAAGATAACCATCTCACCCATAATCACCTACTGGTGGGCCGACATTGGTGCCGTAGACCCACCCCTACTGGAAGGTAACTCAACTCGTGAGGCTGACTGCTGAAAAGCTGATCGACAGATGTCCAACTACTGCTCCGCTGATCCTCCGACTATAAATCCCATAAAACACTTAGTCAGACACTGATAACTGTTCTTAGGGTAAAATGACTATTTTACCCTTGACCAAGTCAAAGTCAAAGTCAAAGTCAACTTTCCAGTGGACCTGACTCGCCGAGTTGGGCCTCCAACTCGTCGAGTCCTTACCCTTCACCTGCCCTTCTTCACGCTTCTACTCATCGAGTTTAGCAATGACTCGACGAGTTCTCCTTCTAAAACAACCTCGAATGACCCTTCATCCGACTCGTCGAGTTGTATAAACAACTCGTCGAGTTTATCCTCGTCCTACAAACAAGTCTGGTCCTTGACTCGCCGAGTTGTATGAACAACTTGTCAAGTTCATCTTCAAAAGTTGGGAGATTGTCTTGGACTCGCCGAGTCTGCTCATGCACTCATCGAGACCTATGAACTCAAGGTTTATGGCTAAGTCCAATACGTTGGGTTCACTCCCTTGGACCCTCTAAAACCCTTCTAACACTCAATCGGGTTCCTTCGAACCCTAACAGAAACGTGGTGTCAAGCCTCGGACTCGCCGAGTCCCAAGAACAACTCACCGAGTCGAGATTGTCCAAGTCTTATTTCTCGATTTCTGATGTACAACACTTGTCCAAATGATAGATCTAGGCTCCTAAGATCGATATAGCACAAAAGTTACGAACTTTTACGTGCATGCATGGGACTATGAGCTAAAAAGATCCTAAAAGAAGCTCTTAAGTTGCATGGGGCTTTCCATGGGTGCAAAAGCAGTCCCTTTTTGCCTTCTAACTCCTTAAGGAGCCTAGATCTAAAGTCTCAACCCCTAACCATGCTTGCAATCATGGTTGGTCACCAAGAATGGCTTATAAGAGCCCTAAATCTCCCTAAAAAGGGATCTAATACAAGAAGGAGCAAGGTGTCGACTTTATACCATCCAAGAACTATAGATGATGCACAAGTTTGACTCATCTGGCCAACCTCTTGGTTCCTCAAGCTTCTTCTTCCTTCTTGCCACCACAAACCACCAAGAATCACCAAAAAGGCCTTTAGATCTTCACAACACGATTAGGGTTCTGTATGGAGTGTTCTAGGAGCATAAAGGGGCGATGGAGGTTGTATAAGGTTGTTTAAATAGGATGCAAACCCTCAGATTAGGGTTTGCCCAGCCAGAGTCTACTCGTCGAGTCTTGTCGCCGACTCGACTAGTCCGCCACTTAACTCCCGGGTCTAAACCGCTACTACTCGACGAGTTGGGCCATCAACTCGTCGAGTCTCAGTCCAAATTGCGAAACATACTTAAATGAAATACATACCAGGAACCGGGTGCTACAAATCTCCCCCACTTATTATAGACTTCGTCCTCGAAGTCTGATGTTCGTTCTTGGAAAAGCTCTGGGTAATGCTCCACCATCTCGTCCACCGGCTCCCACGTCCACGATGAGCCCTTCTAGTGCTGCCATTGCACCTTCACTAGCTCGACCCTCTTGTTCCTCAGATCCTTCGACTTGCGATCGAGGATTACCACAGGTTGCTCAATGTAATCCATGTTGTCGTGAACCTGAATATCCTCCAGGGGCAACACTACCGAGTCTTCCACTAGGCACTTCCACAGTTGGGAGACATGGAAAGTATTTTGGATCCGACTGAGTTTGGCTGGCAGATCCCAACTGTATGCCACCTTGCCCACCCGGGCTATAACCTTGAAAGGTCTAATGTACTTAGTGATGGGTTTTGGACATAAGAACTTTCCCTATGTGCACATACAACTCTATAGCTTGGATCTAGGTTTCACTAATTGAACATGCAATATATCCAAGACTTTCATGGCTAGATCTAATGTAAACTAACAATCAAAATCATATGAAAACAGATCTAGATTAATACCTTGAGTTACTTGCTTGAAACCTTCTTCTTCTTGGAGCTTAAAGTCACAAATGTCACTCCTCTAATGGATTACAAACACCAACTAGCAAGAAGATGATTTAAGAGAGATGAGGAAGAGGGAAATCGGCTCTAGGGTTTCTCCAATCATAATAGTGGCCGATTTCCTCAACCCTGTGGGTCTATTTATATTGTGAGCTCTTAGGGTTTCACCTTAAAACCCTAATTAGATAACTTAGCCTCAAAGCAATCCAAATCCTTTCCTAGATAAGGCCTTGGACGATTTCTAGGTGATCCACATCCATAAAATCGTCCAACCCATATCAATAAGAGTTATCATCTCAAAATACAACTTTCACACATTTGACAGTTTATACCTCTTTATTCAATTAATCTCTTTAAGTCACCAAATTAATTCCTAATTAATTTAAGACTTATATTAATCTAATAATAATATTATTCTTTTAACATATTATTCCTATAATACATTAATAATAATATTTCTTCTCTCTAAATCATCCTATCAAGTTGCTATGGTGAAGGCAACCCAAAAGTACCATGCACAACCGGGTCAAGTACTTACCAAATATAGTTACAGCCTTAGACACTAATCAAATAGTCTCCCACTTGGATATGTCTAGTAACTATAAACGCAAACACAATCCGATTAGAAATCGTAGCTCTCAAAGACGCTATCAACTCTGATCTTATCAGTAACCTGTCCTTTAGATAAGGGATCGTACAGTCCTCTGTTTTGATATCGTGCAGACGATTATTATACTTGTCGTCTAGCAACTATTTTCTCGATCTCGGATTTATTCAAAAAAGAACTTAATTGAACACATCAATTCAATCCTGACCGGGCCCGACACATAAGTCAAATCAAATCATCGAGCGGTCGTGATATCGCTTTTACCATCTTAGGATAAA